TCGGACTTCTGGAATGGAGGAGTCATCTCTGTCCTCGGTAGTTGAAGAAGTCACCGTCCCTGAGCACAGGTACGGATCTGGTCCCAGCTTTTTCGATTCCAGCCAGCCCCGCAAGCTCTCCCCGGCACTGTCATCTGCGGCCACAAACAGCACACAGTACTTTGCAAGCTTTATTTCAGGCCGGAGCGAAAGTGCTCAAGGGTGGAGCTACGGCATTCCACAGTGGGTTGACCTCTCGTACTGGTCGGCCGAGGGCGAATCAGCAGAGATCAAGTTTCTGGAGGATGCCCCCAAGGATGTGGATGGTACCTCGAAACGCAAAAAGGGACCTTTCTTACCCCGTGTGAGGATGTATGAGATCCAAATGATGGGGCTTATGGAGTTAGGCATGGCAGACATGACTATCCCATTCATGGCAGAAACGCAAGTATCACTTACGCGTTCTCACAAGCGCGCTGGCTCAAAACGCAGACGAGCAACTGGAAGCAGGAGTCTGTCTCATTCACCCACGCTATCACGCAAGAGCCGTCTCGGCCCAGAGCCCACGCGAATATCCCAGGGGTTGCTGTCATTAAATGCCAAGGCACTCGGAGACATATTCGACCGTATGGATGCATATGACTCGCTACTGTTTCAAACACATTCAACCACAGAGACCAAATCAAAAGCCACCAAGATGACAGGTAGTTTGGTGAGGACTGATACGGCCTCCTCGACCCAACCAAAGAAGCCTCCACAAGAAGAAGCACCCAAATCGGGGTCCGGATTGACAAAGGTATTGACCAACAGATCATTGAATTCGCCTTTCCGACCACAGCTCCCGTCCCTCGCCTCTGCAGATGCTTCAAGTCCTCCGTTAACAACTAAGAAGGCCCGAGAAGTGTCCAAGGTCAACCGGACGCTGAACTATGCTTTGAGAGGCCTGGCTCCACCTGTCCGTGCGATTGCCAGTACCGAAGTCAACATTACCAATGTAGAGGCGCATTCGCCGTTTGGTAATCTTGGCCATTCAAGGCCGAGTGTAGCAACATCGGCTGCTAGCATACGCTCCGTGTCCACGAACAGTGTGCTGGGGGAGAAGCCAAAAGAGAACCTGGCTTCCGTGGAAAGATCCAACTCTCAAATGTCCGCGCGACCAGAAGATACACCGTCAAAGCCAATCTCTATTAATACTCCGTTGCGCAAGATTCAGGACGATCTCCTCTCTGAATCACAGAGATCGAGTTCCACCACCCGCCGAGTCCCAAACCATATGGCTGCTTCGAAAGATGATCTCGGTTATAGCAAAGAGGCTGACAGCGAATCATCACGCTCTTCAGCAAGCGAAGGAGCAGACGACTCGGACAGCGTGGAGCCGGCTGAAAGCCCGTTGGGAACGTCGATCGCCAGCTCGGTCCCGAGAAGTACACTCCCCTACGTACGCAATGTCAACGCGTCAAATCCCTTGAAGCGCCACCCCGAAAGGGAGTCGTTCTTTGGCAGATGGCAGCATCTTTACCCTCGGAAACCACGTGCCGCGACCGTCAAGTGGAAATCTCTGTGCACTCCTGCGTCGGTGCCTCTGACGACCGAGGATTTTCCAACCAAAGATGAACTGGACATGGATTACGACACCGAAAATTACCATGTCATTCTGGCCAATCCGAACGAGATGCTCGAAGAACCCGAGTCGCGCGACATACTCCTCGGGGAGATGTTGGCCCTTAGATTTAGTCATGGGTATCAGCTCGTAGTCGGTCCATCACTGCTCGAGTCTGTTGGCCCTGGAACGTGCGATACGTCGTCGTTCTTCACCCCGAATCTTGTACGGCCCGACGGGTCCTTCATTGTCATGTCAATGGGGAACACGATACAAAAACTGTCCCTTGACGTGAAAAATCGTATTCAAGTGACCAGGTATATTCGGAGACCACCAAGTGTCCAGCCTCCATATCCTCAGGAGATTTCCTATTATCCCAACATAAGGACCATCCTCTCCGAGGCATACAAAATAAGAGATATGCGGTTCAACGGGTTTTCCGAGCAGTACCCCTGGGAAGCGGCGGACAGATACCTGGCTGACTTTAGAAAGCAAAACGATGTCGATGTCAAAGCTCTCCGTTTCTGGCGAGCAAGATTTGTGCTCATTCCAGTCGCGCCACCAGTCAACTCCTGGAGACCCACGCTATCCGAAGCTGAAGAAAGCGAAGAAGAGATTCATTTGCGCGGAATCCGGGCATTGACGCAGATGTGGCAAAAGGCACGATATGTACCGCCAGATGAGAGAAGACCTGCTCATATCCGGTCGACCACCACGAAAGGAAAGGATAGAAACCCGTTGAGGATCAATCTTGAAACCCTCAATCCATCCGAACTCGTGGCGACAGAGCTCGATAAGCTGATCGCCGCTGAAGAGGCTGGCGAGGTACAAACGACACAACTCCTGCCCGAGGCTGAACAGTTTGAGAGGGACTCCTTCAGCCTCCCTAAGCTAGCCCAAGCCTTGCAAGGCGAAAATGGGATTGAGATCAAGACTCGACGGTGGCACTTGCGTCTTTACTACAGTTGCTTCATGGGCGAAGACTTGACGAACTGGCTAGTGCATAACTTTAGGGATATTGACACTCGAGAAGAGGCCGTTGAGCTGGGCAATGATCTTATGAAGGAGAATCTTTTCGAGCACGTCAACAGCAAGCACAACTTCAAAGACGGCAACTACTTTTATTCCATCAAGCCCGAGTTTCGCATCCAGCGAATGGAAGCGAGGCAATCATGGTTTCCTGCAAGCCGACGCTCAGATCGATCGATTCCGCCCACCCCTGCGACCGAGCATCCAACCCGGGAGTTGATTGGGGGCAGGTCACGATCAGGTTCCAATCTCGCCAACCACGGACAAGTTGCCTCTGAGCTGGCCAAGACGCTGGGAGACAAGAAAAGACGAACTGTGACTCTGAGCAAGATGATCCGAATCGATGTCGATACGAGGAAGCGATCCAACAGGCCTGAAATCATCAACTTACATTACGACAGACTTCACAACCCGGAGAACTGCTATCATCTCGAGTTGGCTTGGTTCAATGTCACGTCCAAGTTGGTCGACGACGCCATTGTGAGCTGGTCTACACAAGCTGAGAAGTATGGGTTGAAGCTTGTTGAAGTTCCCATCGCCGAAGCATTCAAGGTCCCTGAGCATGAACCTTTTCGTGCCGCCTACCGCATCAAACTTGCTCTCCAGCCTCCGCGCCGCAGCGTGGTCAGCACCTTGTACTTTACCGCAGTGTCGTTCGGGCCGCAAGCACCCCTGACCCCTGACATGAACTTCTACCAGAAAGCGATACTCAAGCGCTTCAACTTCGTCCTCGACCTCGAAGCGCCCTCGGAGTTTCCAGAGAATGTCGAGATCAAGTACTCCTGGGGAGACCTGGACTATCGCTACACGCAATTCGTCCACCGCTCAGGAGTCGTCCTCGCGCAGATCACCGATGAAGGCGACATCCTCCTCCTGGCAAACAGGCTGTATAATTCTCGTCAAGCGTCGGCAAAAGACTCGTCGTCGAGATTCGACGCCGGCAAGAAAGATCTTACGCCCAATGCCTCCAGCTCCATGCTCCTGCGTCCTCAAACACTCTCTTCGACCCATTCTGCACCGAGCATCGCAGCATCTGGGATCATCGGATTGAATGTACAATCACCTCACGCCGGGCCCTATGCCTCACCACTTATTCGGCCTCTTTCATCGACTCCTGCCGCTCCCAGCCATATGGGCGTAGAGACCACGGCACCAAATGCCAACACATCCATATCGACCGCTGTCCCCCCTCCGCCCATGACACCAAAGGTGACGGCCGACGTCCTGGGCACCCGCCGAGCGCTCATCGCCTCGGGATTCTCGCACTTTGTCACGCCCGAACAGATCAAAGACGACCTCGAAGCCTTTTGCGCCGACAGGGAACGTTTGGACACCTTCTACAAGGAGGTCACCGCAACGTTACCCGCCCAGCATGCCGCTATGAGAGAGCGCGAGCGCGACCGAGAACACGAGAGGTACGGTGGAAACGGGCCACTGGGAGCAAAAGATCGGGGATACAGGACCGCGGGGACGGGTTCGAGCTTGCTCAGGCCCATCAGGGAGCCCGAGTCGGAGACGGGCATTCCCGAATTCAGACTTCCGGACCCGTTGAACATGGGTTTTAGGAAGAAGGATGTGTCTGTTGTTGTATCTGGATCCGCGCCTGGGTCTGGGTCTGGTGCTGGTACTGGTACCGGTGCTGGTACTGGCGCCGGAGCTGGCGGGACAACGAACCCTCGAGACTCGGCATCCTCGTTACTCTCGCCATGATTCTCAGCTTTTTACCTCACCACACCACACCGCTCCCAGTGACGGGACACAAGATAAATGACCAGAAGATAAAGGATCATTCCACGTCACGTTTGCAATCACAGTTCTTTATTTGCTTGTATGCTTGCATGCTCATATGGGGTTGGTGTAATGTGTATATGTATCATGTATCATGTACCATGTAGGCATGTATGTTTAACGTTGTGCTTTATGTTTAAGATAGTGTATATCTATATATCCTGATATGCCTGTTCATGTACCCTGTTCATACACCTACCTACCTACCTACCTACCTACCTACCTACCTACCTACTTATGCGCCTACTCTATGTGTATATGTAGATGTATATAGATGAACACGTAGATATACGTAGATACACACGCGTGTGAGTGTGTGAGTGTGTGAATATATGTTATGTACATATGAATACAACATACCGGATAAAGTACCCAGTACGAGGAACTGGCCCCCTTTCTCGTTCCAACATTGTTGAAAACATTAATTACACATTGTGGACCTAACCTAACCTACATCGGCGCTGTAGATACCACTACCTACGTACCTAGGTACCGACATACACACAGTACGGCGATCATGGCTTCTGTTCTTTTTCTTTTCGGTATAGATAGATAGCCAACAAACTTTTCTTGGGTTACAGAAAAAGGATAGAATATTTCATCGTCATAACATCCTGGTCGGACTCCCGTTCCTGCTCTTGGATCGCCCATTCACACCTGCATCGCCACCGGCCAGGCTCTCTCGACTCTCCGTCCTGACCACCAGTCCTGAGCGATCGATCGGGTTCGGCTTCAGCCTGTCTGGACCGTGCCGCTTGCCCTGGAAAGGCGAGTTCCTGCCCTGTGATGTCGGTCGGCTGGGGTTGGACTTGGAGAAAGCCACGTCAGCTTCGAGGACTGTGCTGTCCTCGTCGGACATGTTGTCCAGCTCAAAGTCGTTGGGGTCGTAGAGCTGCTGTGAGGTCCCTTCCTCAATATCGCGGTCTCGGTCAAGATGGTAAGCGCCTTTGCGGCGACTCAGAAGCGCATGGAGAAACTTCAACGGTGTCCTCAGTTTCGGAGTTGATGACGGTGAGTAAGCAGAGGACGAAGTCGGGGAGGCGGGTCGAAGGGAAAGGTAGATCCTCGAACGCCGTTGACGGCCGCAGAGATAGAATGTCGCAATGATCAAGATGAGGAGGAAGAAGATGAATCCCGGCAGGCGGTGCGGGGTGTCAGAGTTGAAGAGCGTGTCGTGGATGTGGTCCGTTATACTCTGGCTACCGTCATCACTACCACTGGTCTCTTGCAAGTCGGTAGCAGGCCCTCCGGAGTGATGGTCTGGAGCGGCTTGGAGCAAGCCTCCCCCAGGATACTGAAAGTCTTTGGGGATCCCAGGCACATTACTTCCGAATCCAACAGGTAAGTCCCCGTCCGAGGCAGGCGGAATATCTGCAGACGCATACAAAAGCATCTTGCCCATTGTCCAACTGACTTCTGTGGATTTGATTTTGTTCACAGCCTGGAACGGATCGAGGAACCCCTTATCCTCGGCGCCCTCCAGCACTTCCTTGGTGCCGTTATGTGATGAGACGTCCGTGTCTTCAAGTCCGACTCTGGGAATCCCAATGCCATCATGAAGCATATTAATCAGCCAGCTGGCCTTGAAACACACTTCCAGTGCGCTCTTTTCGTCAACTTTGTTGCCCCACATGTTGTCCTCGATACCCTTCCGAATATCCGACCAATCTTGCTCACAGAACTCCTTGACCCTCTTCTGGTAGGTATTAAAGTCGTATGATTTATCCTTATGCGCCATCTCAAAAATCTCGTGAGTAGTGTGCCAGTACTCACTCACGCCGACAAAGTGATTAACATCAAAGTCGATGGCGGGGACATGGACTCCATGCACCAGGCACGGTTCGTCTGGACAGGGTACATCCTTCTCGAGCAGGGGAAATGTCCGCCTGAGACATTCGTCAAAGTTCCCGACGCCTCGCAGATAGTGGTTGGACAGAGAGGGACCATCGTCTGAAATGATGGTGCCGTCGAAGTTTACTCGCAGTCCTGTCGGCAAACATGGATCGGGAACCTCTAGGATCCCATCGATAGCATAGGATTCCTCCAGGTCTTCCACGTATCTCCGTCGTGCCTCGTTGGCGCCAAAACCCAGCCATGTCGTGACAAAGACCTTGTACTCCTGCGGCACCCCATCGATTGTCCGCAGACGTAACAGGGTGAGATCATTGGCGTGTTTCTCTGCTTCTGTGGCATTTGGCGCAAACGCGATCTGTGCGGACGCGCCACCCATGTCTAAAAAGCCGTATGTATGGTGGCCCTTGCCATGATCGTGGTCTTCGGGCTCGTCAAATCCCCCCAGCAGATAATTCGCCGCCGTCCACCCGTACAGCCCTTCTGTCTCGCCGGAAATTACTTGTACATGAACATCGCAGTCTGGTATTGAGAATTTCGTCTCGGATTGGATATAGGAACAGATATTTCGGAGGAGGCTCTTTTGCTGTCTCTCAGGGAGGAGGCGCATGCCCGCGGTCGCGAGCAGAAAAATAGGCGTGTCAGGAACGGCATCTTTGGGGATGTGTTCGAGGGCGTGATCAAGGAGGGGTTTTAGGTGGTCTGGACCGACCAAGTCGGGCGTGTCGCCAAAGGTTGAGACTCCTGGGTGCACCTTTTTCGTCCACTTGTCCTTTGTCTCCAATTCCGGCAACGAATGTAGGGAGGTGTGATCGAGTCGAGCGACCGAGTTGGAGAGCCATCGATATATGTAAATTCTGGTCCCGGACGAGCCAGCATCCAGGACCACGCCGTAACGTTTATCAGGCCCGTCGCCCATCATGAGAATCACTCTTTCATGTTCGGAATTATACAAGGAGTTGAACCAGTCAACTGCAAAAGACTAGTGTAGGGATTAGAGGAATAGCGTGGCAGATAGGTTGTTGAAGCGAGAGGGAAGAGAACAGACACTGTCGATACGATAGAAGATGAAAGCGACGATTTCAGGTTTGAGAATTCATTTATGCACATGTGCATGGCGTTGTTTCGCAAGACAAGACAACAATCAAAGGTTACGTCGACACACGTGATGCATCCGGCTAATATCACCATTTATAGTTAGCGTCATTTATGTCTTTCAGCCTCGTTCAGCCTCGTCGGCCTGATCTATGGAGGCATGAGAAGCAGTGGGCACAATGGTGGGGATATCTCTAGCAGTGGTCTAATCTTTGTTCGGTCAGTACAGAGGCAATATTGCACACGCTGGACCTCTTTAGCTGCATACTTCCTTATACCATACCAGCGAGGTCCACTTCAGAATACCGACAGCAGTCAGGGAAGCACCTGGTCACTCGATGAGACAAGTCCGTCCTCAGACGAATCTTGTCCCTCTAGCAAGAGTATGCGTTGTACTGCTCGCATCCTTGGTCTCGCAAAGGGGTCAAAACTCTGCAAGGAGGGACGGACAATGCAGCTCTCTTTCAGGTAAGCCACGCATGATTCGGGTCTTAACTGAGAAAACACTAAGGGGACTGACTACCCGACCTGTGCTGCCCACCCCTTACTGCGATTGATGGTGCCTTTGGGAGGGATTTCAGCTGCAAGTTGAGCGTTATTCGTCTACCCGGGAAAAGTGACAGATGCATTTCCCGATGAGATTCTCCTGATTCAAAGCAAGCCATCAGTTCGGTTGTGTATGGGGTATGTCCTTTGAATACCAATACCTTACCAAACCCTTACAGGACTGGAGGGCAAAGAGCGGTGAAGGGCTATAGGGAGGCAGCAAACGGGGAAGGCCCCTGGGCCCTGGGGGGACCCTGGGACCCCTAAAAAGATACCGGCGCGGTACCTGCAGAAGCATCCGGGGGGCGTCAACCGCTTGTTTTGACGTCCCATGGCGCCCTCCTTTTCCCTGCATGGTACCTCCCAGCCTTGCATCGGTCGCCACTGGCGGTGTGAGCCCTGAGCAAGTTCATGCGACATGTCAACTTACGACTTGGTTTGACAAAACGCAAGCCGTTGTGTGAGGCGGCGCGGTGCAGGATCTCCTCTTCGGGCCTTCAGCTTCCGTACATGTGAAACCCTGGTTTCCATCCACTACGACTTGGTAGCCAAACGGGAGCGAGGGGGGCAAAAGTTCCCAAGGGAAATAGAGCCTGGAACCAGACATCAAATCAAGCACGGGTCGCAGTCTGGTTGCAGGCAGCAGAGCTGCAGCCTACCGACGTGCGTAGCAGAAGAGCCGCCTTTCTGATGGAATAATAGGTACGAGTCAATAGCAGTCCGTGGATGCTAGCCCAACAATTTAGCTTCAGGGGGCGTTTGTTTCAAGAGTCTCAAGTGGGAAACATGGCCTCTGCGCCTCTCCCGCTCGTTTGCCTGGCGCAAGTGTCAAACCAAGTATTCTGATGGTGTGTGGAAGCGATTGGCCGACACTTGCCCAGTAAAGGCGGGCGATATTCTGAGTCTATCCAAGGCAACAATACTCGTATACAAGCGATCCAGTCCAAAGAATATGGGATGGGCTGGGAGTTCAGGCGGCAAGGGGAAGAAGGGAACGCCCTCCTCGTCCTAAACATACGCGGTACTGTTTCACCATCTCGCGTACCCGACGATTTACTCGTAGCGACTGCCACCAAACGCCTTGAACTGTGCGAGGCGCGAAAAACACCAATCAACTCAGGTAGGGGTGGCCTGAAGATACAAAATATGGAGACTCGTCTATACACACACCATCTGGGCGTTTTTGCCTTTTCGGATTATGCTTGGACTAGGTATGTATTTGTGATCTATATACAGCATACAAATACTCGATCCACAAGGGATACATTTTCCAAGGTTGCCTTTTTGGCAACGAAACATGTGAAGATGTGTGATGATAATCCCTTTCACACACTAACGATTTGGAACCGAGCAAGCAGCCATGATCAGTAGTTCATGCACGTCGCTGGAAGGGGGTTCAGGGCGCCGGCTGGGGTCACACAAGGTCAGAGTCTGGAGTCTTCAGTCTTAGAGGAGAGGAGCATGTCACAGGTGATTCAGTATTGGTTGGGTAAAGGACATCATCCATCCGCAGCCTGTCACCCCTTCTCACTCTCCCTCTATCCCTTCACCCCTTGTGCGAGTACAGACTCGCCCAGTCCGAAGGTCTTACCCGTCACGCGGATTCAGCGGCTTCTACCTTCCAAGTGACCATAACTATCGAGTACAGCCCGCCAACATGATGGTGACGATGATGATGATAATGCCAAAAACCAATCCATTCCCGCACGGACCCGATACTAAGATCTGATTAATCCTGACCAACAACTCCAACAACAGAAATGAGCCATGTGCTCCCGTTCTCGGGGGCCCCCTGCACCCTTGCATCTTCTCCTCCCTTCTAGGGTCTAGACGACCTATCACCGGAGTTCACGGCCTCGCAAGCGAGCCAACGGCAACGAACGGGTTCGACGGACATCCAATCATTCTTGGTGTCGCCCCCTCACCCCTCCATCGTCGATGCAGCCGCTGACGATGGCCTGCATGTGCTTGGGACAGGGAGAGCAAATGGGATTGAGGGGCGTAGGTGGGAAGTGGGAAAAACCGCTCATTCATCGACGGTTCTACTCGCTCGTAAGGAATGATTCCGTGCTTTTCTTGAAAGGTTGCTCCGTAGTGTCTCCGTCTCTGATCCGGCTGAAAGATTGAGAGACAGAGACACAGACAAAGAGAGAGAGAGAGGGCGTCCTCGGTAGCATTTGGAGTGCCTTTGGATCACTAAGCGCCCCGATGTTTCTTTTCTTGTTCACCCGCACCTCCATTACGAGGACAGAGGACACAGGACGGACGGTACAAGGGGCCAACACGAACACACCTCGATACGCCCCTACCTCTCTACCTAGCAGTAACCATTGACTAACCAACTGGGCAAAGGAAGCAAAAGAAGCAAAGTCTCGTTGCTTTTTTTCCATCCAGTTTTTGCCGCCCTCGAGGACACCCTCTCCGGATCATGTGCCTCAGTGCCTCGCCAGCACCAGCCCTCGATGGCGATGGCGATAGCGATGGCGGCTTCTAGCCAGGCTTTTTCCAAGTCCAAGCATGTGTGTGTGTGTGTATCCAGCCAGCCAGCCAGCCCGCCCAGCTTGCCAGATACCAGATAGAGTTTCTCCGGCCGTGGTATTGACGCTGGTATTTGACTTTACAAAAACCACCACTTTACCGAGTACATACCTGGAAGATATAGAGCCTTCACACCTCGGGCACCAGACTCGGGCAAGTCTTTCACTGTGTGTGTGTATGTGCTAACTACAAGGTACTCGCCCTTCACTGCCTCTAGACGCCCGTGGCGACCACGCCCAAGAATCTGTAATCCGACGCCTATCACAGTGTACTCGTACTTGTACTCGTAGTGGCTGTGCCTAGCCTTTGTGGCTTTTATCCCGAGTACGTCGTTAGACACCCAGTTTTCCTCTTTTCGCCACCAGATATCCTCGCCGCAGTATTCTGCCTTGATTTTGGCTTGTTCTTTGAGAAGTGCATGTGCTTGTGTTGAAAACTGCTGCCTGATCCGTGAGGCAATTATTCTTCTCAGGCCAGCAGTGCCACAGTCTGTTTGTCGCAATGTTTGCGGGCGTGTTTGAGTGTGTGTGGATAACGCGCGTTCTTTTGGTTTTGGCCTGGCCTGTTCTGCTTTTCCGTTTGTTGGTTACACTTTCGGCGAATGCGGATACGGCGCGAACGGCGCGCGGGGAGGGGGGCACGATGGTGGGTGGGTAAGTAGCTTGGGAGTGGGTGTAGGCGCTCAGAGGAGGTAATGTGATGCGATGTGATGGTGATCCCAGGTGTTGATCGAAATGGTAATGGAAGTTGGAGATGGCTGCATGGTCATGGTGGTGGTGCTGCTGACCGCTGACGCTGATGCTGATGATGATGCCCACGTCCGGGGGAAAGCTGAACCACCACCTACCACCCTACCTATCTAACGTACTTGCAGCTTCGTATATTTTTGAACTCGTAGCTGAATGAACCACCCCGACATTGTAGCTGGGTAGATATGAGGCGTCACATCGTCTCCTGCACCTCATCTCTCACTGTCTTCCCTTCTCGCCACACGCGCCTGGACGAGCTGAACTGAATTGACCTGAACTGAACTGATCCGAACTGATCTAAACACAATCGCCGCCCCCCTCCCGACAAAGTTGGGGAGCTGAATCCAGTAGTGAACTCCAAGACTTCCGTACTCGTACATGGATCAGTATCTTGTTGTCCGTAGGTACATGCCCTCGTAGTAAGTTCATGGGCTTCTCCGGAGGCCCCCATGACCCGTAAACTCAATCGCCAGTACATTCTCCGTAGTTAACCTCCAGTCGCACAATTACCTTGTTGGTGTGTGGGTATCTACCTTCCTACCCTCTCGCCTCTCGTGCCCTGTATCTCAGGGTGCGCAGGCAGGCAGGGTATTCGACCTTGTTGTGTTTGGGTACGGTGGATACATGTCAAATGCACCTGTGACATTCAAGTACATGTACATGTACATTGACATGTGTATATCTATGTATGTAGGGGCTAGGTAAGGGATCTAGGTACCTAGAGGAGAAGGGTTCATCCCCCATCCCCCACGGGAACCTCACTCTCCCAGTCAATACCTCGTACATGGATGACGGTGACATTACCTAGTACCTCCAAGTACTGTCGATAGTAGAACAGAACCAGCCAGCCAGCTAGCCAGCCATCCATCCTTCTCACTTGACTTACTAACAACCAGACCTGCCTCATCATCACACACATACCCGCCCGCCTCGATCCTCCCCAACCACCAACCTCCGTAGCCCCCCCTCACATCCCAGCCCCCCGCAACGC